GAAGGTTGACGTCGGTAGAGATTTAGTGAACAAATCAGCCATATTATCACTTGAACGGATCTGTTGCACATTGATATCACCATTCTTTTTGAAGATCATGTGTGAAAAATAACTTTGGTGAAATGTGCTTTGTCCTATCCCCTTTTATGAATCCTCCCTTTAACTGGGCTATGCATGCTGCATTATTTTCATACAAAATTGTGGGTAATTTGTCACACTTCAAACCACATTTGTCTCAAATAAGGTGTATTATAGACCTCAACCATACACATTCTCGACTTCCTTCATGAATAACAATTATCTCAGCATGATTAGATGAAGTACCCACGATTGATTGCTTAGTCGATCGCCAAGATATAGCAGTGCCTCCATATGTAAACACATAGCCTGTTTGAGATCGAACCTTCTGTGGGTCATATAAATACCCAACATCGGCATAACCAACAAAATCAGGACTGTAATAATTGCCATAAAATAATCCCATACCGGTAGTCCTTTTTAGATACCGCAATATGTGTTTGATTCTATTCCAATGTCTCCTTGTAGGAGAAGAGCTATATCTTGTTAAGACATTAATTGAAAAAGTTATGTCAGACCTTGTAATGTTAGAAAGATACATTAGTGCACCAATTGTACTAAGATATGGATTGTCTGGACCAATAAGCTCTTCATTATTTTCATGAGGTCGGAATGGATGTGCTTTATCCATATAAAATCGCTTTAAAATCATTTTAGCGTATGTTGATTGATGGACAAAAATTTCATCTTTCATATACTCAATTTATAGACCAAGACAAAATTTTATCTTTCCAAGATCTTTTATTTCAAATTCTTTCTTTAAATAGTCTACTGCTTTAGGAAGCTCCCTAGGAGTTCCAATGATATTTAAAGCATCAACATACACGGTGATTATAACAAATTTAGATCCAGATCTTTTTATAAAGATACAAGGACAAATTGAATCATTCTTGTACCCTTCTTTCAACAGGTACTCACTCAGGCGATTATACCACATGCGCCCTGATTGTTTCAATCTGTATAAGGATTTTTTTTTTTGAAGCTTTATTTAATAAAAATTTTTTTGGAAACCTTAATATGCTTCAGAACAATTTAAATCCTTCAATGATTTCCATTATACGCATATCACATTTTTTTTTTCTATTGCCAGATTAAAACCTGAAATGGCGACATCCATCACATGAGAATATGTCTCTATATAATCAATGCCAAGATATTTACAAATCTTCTTGTGACACAAGTCGTTTTTATTTCTATCGACTTGACCCTTGTTTTCCCGCACAAGAACACATTTATACCTCCACCGGCTTTATACTTTCAGGTGTTGGGACTATCCGTCCAACTTCATATTTTTCACGTGAAATCAATTTTCAATGCGTATTTTTTATTTGGCCAATCATTTATTTGTCCAAATTTCATGACAGATTTGAGCTCAAGTTCCTCGTCAATATTAATAATATTGAGCGCTACATTATATTAACAATATCGTTGATGATCATTTTATATCGGTTTTACTATTACCCAATAAAGACATAACTTATTGAGATCTCTTTATTGTATTATTTTCAGGTACCTGAGCCTCTCCCATGAGGTTTTATGAAGTGTTATGTGGTGGTGCTCTTCTAGTGCACTTGCCTCCTTATTATGACTATCTTGAACATTTACTCCTCTCCTTCTTCAAGGAATTTTATCTTTGGAACCGATTAGTCTATTATGCTTTATGCATGCCATGGACTCTATTCATTATGAACTTTATTTTATTTTGAGCATTAGTAGCTGAATATGATATTTAGCTTTGGGTCAGCAAATATGCCTGGCAATATTTTGCAAATGAATTATCATTTGAACTTCAAGTTCACATTTTGTCGTACGAGGATCTCGATGTACTCATAATAATTTATTACATGCATTACTTTTTCAGCTGCCCATTTTCTCCCCCTATTGTTGGAATCACCAACACATATTCCTAGCCTTATTTGGGGATCCATCTTTGTGCATTGTGGTGGAACAATTAAATCATATAGCACATTCATATTTCTAGATGGAAATTATTTGGTTCCTGACCCTGAACCGATTGTGATAGGGAGAACTTATCATAACTTGGCTAGATGCGTACAAGTGCTATTGTATATTAAATAATACATCATATATCAAATTTTATTTTGGCAATTTTGTTCTCATAACCAATGGTTTAGATATAATTGGAGGCATACAATTTCTGCTAAACCAACTTGGGTTTAAACCAGTATTATCAAGATAAATCATCATAATATATATTCTGGAACTGTGCTCTAATAATTTGAGCAATCAATCTTGCAAAAGACAAACTACAAGTTGATAACAAATGCACATGTGACCATAGAATAGATGCATCTATTAAAATCATATAATAGTAAACGGTCCACGTGGAAGGTGATTGGGCTCATATATTTATCACCTTTTATTCGTTCCAGAAATCAAGGGATTCAATCCCAACCTTAACTGGTATATCATGAGAATAAGTAGCACAGAAAAATTCTTGAAGAATCTTATATTTCTTCAATATATGCCAATGTAATTATCAATTAATTTTTCACATCATAATTGAATCGAGATGGTCAATCGGTCATGCCAACTAATATTTATTTCAGTAAACCTCTAGTTTGCTTGTGACATATGATTCCATCATCATGCTTATATTTGTGCAGCACAAATAGAAAGAAAATCGGGTAATCTTTTATATTTACCCGTTATGATTATAGAAATATGAAGATATTTAATATTTCATTCATTTATAGTCTCAAAATGCTAATCACTTTGACTTGTACATTTGAAACTCAAAAAGTTTCTTTTGAGACTTTACAATATCAATGTTGTGAATAATTTTATTCATCCGGGTAGTAACAAATTAATTTTTCCGGAGCTCTTAACAACTTTTGTACTACAAGATCTTTTGTCACACTATTCATATGGTAAATGTCTCCTTTACGGAGAAACTTATAACTTAATAAATTGTCATGGTTAAAATCATCATAAGGAAAATCACTTCTTGCTTTAATTTTGCCTTTAATAACCTTTTATAAGGCACACCAAAATATGTTTTGGCGTATCACATGTACGCGACCAATGACATATTCATGTAACCATACAATAATATTTATTCTCTTTATTTCACTCAAACCTTCCTCAGAGGTGAGTTGCGTGGTATTCATCTAATCATGCATTGCAAGTCTTTATTCATTACTTTTATCATATATAGCCACATTCACCTTTAGGAATGAGTCTGCATTCTTAATGCTTATCACAAGTCACATTCTCTTTGGATCATAATCAACGCCGTGCTTTATTATTTTTCATATCAATTTGATGGTAAACATTGCCTTCACATTTTGAAGGACTATTTTGAGAACCCTTATTGTTCTCCTTTTATAATCATAGTGATAATTATTATTATTTTGATCTTTGGAACGCCAACGTTCATTATTCAACCACTTGTCTTCATTTAGACTTGTTATGCGCCACTACCACATTCACTTCAAGAATGGAGCAAATCAAGTGGGGCAATATTCATGCCTTTTCATGAAAAATATATTATTTTTTTTAGTCATTATTATATCATCAATATGGTATAGTGGGACTCAAACCTAATATCTTGCCAATATAAAGGCATGTTAGGCCATAATGAATTGTGACTCAAACTCAACTCTTATCATCATGGAGCATCAAGACTTGATCCTGATGTCTTACCCTCATGGTTCATTATGACTTGAACTCATTGAAGTTGATATCATTAATAGCAAAGGACAAAAACAATTTCAAATACGAAAGAAATGCTTACTTTTTGAGTTAAACTCTTCATAATGTCATTTGGATATAATTCTCAATAATAGACTTTTCGTTTACTCAAATCAGCTAAGTAATTAATGTCAAACAAATATATAAAAATATAAAATAATATTAAAAATTCACATGTGGTCTTTGCTGCAATAAGCTTACTTCAAGATGAAAGTGATATGACCAAAATATTAAAGAAAAATAATGTATCAAATAGAATAATATAGTACTACTAGCTACCATATATTTTTGTGGAAACTAAGTATTATGCTCTCTAGAAAAACAAAGAAATATAGCAGAACCTTTAGGTTAATCAGGGAATCAAAGAAAAATTAGGGGACAAATCTACGTCTACTATCTAGTACTATATGCTTTCCATATAGAAATGATTTAACGTGTTAATTTGATAAGAACTATCACAAATAAAAAATTTGGTGTAGTACATACTTCTTGTACTAATATTTTATCTTATTAAAATAAAATAGTTACGAGTATTATTATTATTATTATTATTATTATTATTATTATTATTATTATTATTATTATTATTATATTTTAATAGCATGAATCATTAAAATAGTAAAAAATAATTTTCTACTTATCCTACTCAATCCACAAATAAATTTTACTAAATATTAAAGCTAATTTTGATATAAGAAGACAACAGTACTCTAATCAAATATATATGGAACACAAGTGTTAGGAATTCTTTTTCCTTTCTAACCATGTAGGCATAAAAAAAATAATTGAAGCTAAGTGTCACACATATATGCAGATTAAGATTTTTGGTTTGATTATCATGTTGTCATATTGCATATAAGTGTAAACTCAAAGCTAGACATGAATTAGCAAACATATGCTGACATAAGAATTTAAAAGTAAAGCTTACTGGAACGAAAAGAAATTTGACTAACTCCGGTTGAAAGAAGATAAAATTCGATTAAAGCACATAATCTGAGTTGGTTAGAGCATTGTGCTGATAACGTGTTATGAAATAAAAGCAACTTAGTAAAACATGAACAAGATGTGTTGTTATGAAATAAAAGCAATTTAGTAAAATATGAAAAAAAAAATGGAGATAGAGAGAAGAAAGAGATTTTCTTTAAAAAAGGGTAGACATTTACCATAATTTAATTTTTCTTATAACAATTCACTTTTCCCCCCTTTTTTCCAAAGCGTACAATTAGATCCCTCTATCCAACTCAGAAATTAGAGCTTAATTTCCTTTCTTCTTCATAGCAGGGCTCAATTCCCTCTCGTCAACATCATCTCTACAAAATAATTTCGCGCAATCCGAACAATAAAGGTCTGTACTTTATCATACTCTTCTTTGCTCTAAATCGTCTTTATTTACTTTCTAATGTAGAGTTCGTACCCGAAATTATTTACGATATGCCTTTAGAATTTGGATTAAAGTATTATTACAAGTACTGGGTTATATTTTGGTTCAATTGTTATGTGGGTTTCTCTGTTTTCGAGGTTCGATCGCAAATCTTATGCTTTTAAGAGTCGTTGTTGTGGAGGAAATGAGTGCGGGCTTTTGAAAAGAAGGATCTCTACTGAGAGGTTGTATATTTGTAGTAGGTAGTATTTGGAAGATCTTTTATCTTTAAGGATGATTGGAGTTGTCTGTATTTTTGTTATTAGATGGATTATGTGCTTAGGATCGTGAAGTGCCCGGTACAACGCTATGCATTTTTTCTATTTCGTGTTATTCCCCTTTTATGGGGTTTGATGATTATATTCTTTGGATCTTGGATGACTAATTTTATGCATTGCATGAAGCTTTTCAAGTAAATACTTTGCAACATCTGAGAATATTTTGTTCTTTAATTAGTCTAAAAGGACATCTAATGGGTTATGTTGTATGTATGCAACTACTGCATTCTTGTTTATGAAATATGAGTACAATTACATGAAGTTTTATACCACGTGCAGGTTGTTGTATATAATTATCCACTGAATCAAAGGGTATTCTAAAGCAATGGATCAATCATCCAGGATTTGAGCTAATCACCATGGTAAATCATTCCTTGCAGTTTGTTTACATGTACAAATGTGTTTGGACTTTGTTTATCCAGAACTATTTTTATAGTACTTTTTAGCAATTTATCTATGAATTAATTACTGGTGCAACTTGGCGGTCACTCTTATCCTTTGACGGACAAGTTGTTTCTATCCTTGTGCAATAAGGGCTCTATCAGTGCAGGCTTTTCTGCCATGCTCTTCAATGTTGCTTTAGATAGTTGAATTTAATAACAGGAAATCATGTATGTAATTACAGGAAATCAAATTTTAATGATTCTTATTTTATTGGTCAATAATTTTTTTGTTGTGCCTTGCATTTTGTTTATAATGTCAAGGTGATGCACAACATCGCAAGATAAATCCTCCACCAGTGCAAAGGTTTGGTGGGTTGTATGATAGCATTGAGGAGTAAGTTATGTTTCTTAACTTTTTTGGCTAGACATTCTTTTTAGAGAAAACTTAATTTATATAACATACTTTTTATTATAGGAAGCTACAACCATTGAAGAATATTTGCAGCATTGAATCCAGTTGGATTGAAACAAAAAAATGGCAGCCTTCAGAACAAATGATTGTATACTTCTCTGTCATTCTTAACTGTTGAGTGAAATCCATTTCGGTTCTATTGCTATGTTGGAAAAGACAGAAGATGAGAAAGACAGGGGAATTCACTATTTCACTATGTCCTGAATAGTAAGAGCGATGGGTAAAAGCCAATGGCTGGCACTCATTTAAAGTTAAAATATGCAGTTGCTTTTGAGGTGAATTCTGCTGAACTACTTAATTAGAGTTAATGATTTTGTTTTAGCTTGAAGTTTATACTTACCATTTCACAGAGAATGAATTTTTGGAAAGTGATGTACTTCTATGGTGTTACACAGGGTGCTAAAAAATAGTACACAAACCATCTGCGCCTTTCCTCGTGAGACATCAAGCAAGACTGGATCATATTTTGGAGTTATTTTATGGAGAACTGGTAAAAGTTATCTTTTATCGTATGTTATAAATTTGACATTGAAATGTGTTGATGCATCTTGCCAATTAATTTAAGGTTATATAAAGTGTCATCTAATCCTATTTACTAGGATGTAACTTTCTGTCACTTGATGTTTTTGCCCTTTTCCAAAGATTTTCATAAATTCCAGAGTAAGGTCGGAAGAAACTGTGCTGGAGCATGTAAGTTAAAAGGACTTCTTAAAGTTTTTGATCAGTAGTTTGTCTCTTACATGTATTATGTAATTGTAGCTTCTTAAGGAATTTCTAATCCTCAATTCAGATTATCTTATAGAAATATAGTTTGCAGGCAAAGTTTTTTAGCACCCACCAAACAGAACAGATGCTTCTTGTCAAAATTTTATTATTAGGTGATTCTTTTTTATAGTAACAGATTCCCTTCATCTTATGTTTGTTTCATAAGCTATTTCAGGGTGAACATCAGTATTTATCCATTGTATAATTATAGAAACATATTATAAGTATATTATATTAGGCATAAAGTTGTTGACATATACATGAAGATGTCAACATCAGTGGCGGACCCAAGTGGTGGCTAGCGGGTTCAACTGAACCCGCTTCACAAAAAATAATACTGTGTATATGTATAAATTAGGATTAAAACGATGTAAATTTTACATAAATATTTTATTTGAACCCACTTGACAGCTACTATTTTACGACTAAATTTATATACTTCTAAGATTGAACCCGCTTGCACAAAATCCTGGGTCCGCCACTGATCAACATGACTTATTATGAAAAGTAGACAAGGTCAGACGGTCTAGATATCTTATAGATAGTTTTGACTTTGAAGAAGGTCATCGCTTTGATTCTTTAGCGTGTACTGGTTTATAGGATTGATGTTGAATCATTGACATCTGTATGTTTGAATATTTAGTCCTCTTCTGAGCTCCATTCACAGTGCATAATTGTTCTGGAACAAAGTGCTCTGAATGGGTAGACTTATGTGGCATGATTTGTAACTTTTGATAAATTTAGCAGCACATTACTGACTAATTCAAACTTAATGATTACTTTTTACCATTCAAAATTTTTGCTAACATTTATTTGTCATCATTTGTAGGTGGATCAAATAAGCTAAAGCGTATATTGAAGCAGTGAGGGTGATATTTAGACTCGTGGGATTGTTGATGAAACATTAGTTTGTTTAGATACTTTGGAATTTTTGTTTTGTTTTGCAACTTCTAATTAATGTGCGAACCTATGTATGTTACTCTCTGGATATTCTGGATGATGCTTTTGTTTATGAATAATAGTATCCTTTCGTGATTTATATAAATTTTAGCGCATTAGTTTTTGTTTAGATAAATAATTAACAACTAAATAAAAGGGTGCATCTTTAGTTCAATAACCGTTGCAATAGCCCCCATTAAATCCAATAAACCGTTGCAATAGGTCTATTTTATTCTCTATTGGAACGGTTTTGGGACTGTTGCAATAGGTCTATTTTCTAGTAGTTTAATACCCCACAAATTTATTTTTTTAAAATATCGAGATCATATTGTTGAGGTTTTAAATTGTCACAAATTGATTTTAAAACCGTCACAAACATTTGTGACGGTTGTGTTTGTGACGGTTGTCGTGGAGGTTTTAAAAAATTGTCGCAAATATGCTCGTGGCGAACGTAACTGTGGCGTTTTTCAAAACCGCCGTAATTCAAGTTGTGGGGGTTGAAAAACGCCACAAATTAACAAAATAACCCCCACAAATTAAGCCTTTTCTTGTAGCACGCCCCGATGATAAATAGAGCTTGCCTAAGAAGCTTCTGGAGCTTTGGATTCCCTAGTAAAAAGGTTTTGATATTTTCTCGCTATTTCTTTCTCTATTATTTTATTCACCAATTCACAAAAAACATCTTTTGCACATTAAGAAAGTAGTTCTATATATATTAGCATCCATGTATATATGGAGGAGCCAAAATCAAGATCGATTATGCCAACAAAATATCGAAAAATTTAATGAATGAAAGTATTAAGATATTCAATTATATGTTTGATCTTTTCTTTGCAATGCTTAGAGATTTATAAGTTGCATTCTTAATTGCGATTAAGAGAATTACATGTCTCAATTAGTTTGCGATTTTTAAGTCTCATTTACTTATAAATCGCATTTTATTGATTGTGATTTATAAATTGCATTTATCGATGCGTCGATTTATAAGTTGTATTTATTGATTACGATTTATTTTAACTCGATTGCCAAAATCAATTTATGCTATTTACTTGCCGAATGTGATGTAAAGTAGCATAGCGAATGCCATTTATGAATAACAAAACTGGACTGAAGTGCAATATTCTTATCAGCTGCGAGCGATGATACTCTCAACTCTGTGTGTATTGTGAATCTATAAAGAGTCTGTATCAAACATTTATTGATCATAAATTATGCCTCAATTGTTGGTCCAAGTTCTCACTTTATCAATCTCGAAAACTGATGCACCCTAAGCTTTAACAACCTTTATAACAGCTATGTGTGAACCCTGAATTTATCAGACCAACTATCTGCAACTCAACCTAATGATAGAGAACCCTTTACCAAGTTATTTGCCTTTTTCACGGATAAGAACAACTATAACACTTATATTGAGGAATGTAGTGATACAGGGCAAAGTAGTTAGTGGTAGTTAGTTTGTTATTTAAATCATAGTTAGCTAACTAGGGTCATAATACTAACTATGATTGAGTTAGAAGTCAGTTAGTATAAATAGTAGTTATTCGGTTAGTTGTGTACGGTTGGATTTTATTTTTTCAATGGAACTGTCACACCCCTTTTCTACCCCCAAAAAGATATTGTGTTTTATGGATTTTTGTGAGTTAAAGGGTTTTTCCAATTAAAGTGACAAACTTGAGTAGGGATTATCTTATTTACAGAGTCGCCATTTGGAATTGATTTTTGGGTGTTCCAAGTCACCTTTTATTTGAATCCCTAGTCAAAGGAAGGTTTGACTCTATTATTATTGGTCTGCGAAAACAAAGTCCAGATAAAGAGTTCTGTTGACCGGGAAGAAGGTGTAAGGTATTCTCCGAGTCCCGTGGTTCTAGCACGGTCACTTTATTGACTACATTTGGCTTATATTATTTTTGGATAAACTGTATTTTATTGGTTTTCATGTTTTACCTATGTCCACTTTCATTGCTTGATTATTATTGAAGGATAAAATTACATTATAAATAACATTATAATTTTATTATGACTTTGCACTTAAGGTCAAGTTACACAAGCGTGCACTCGAATTTGGAATTACGTACCATGATTATGCCACGAAAACCGTACCCATAGTCACGATAATTTATTATTGGCCACACCTAAAGCACACTACGTTATTCAAAGTTGTTTAATTATTTGTTAAGTTTGGGATTATTGTGAGGCTCAAAGGTTACGGAGTAGAATTACGGAAAAGGTAAGATTGATTATTAAAGATTACTAGAGGTATCAATTATGCCGGGTATAGGTCTGATAATGTGACAAGAAAATAAATCCTACTTATTCATTCTACTTTATCTATACTTAAGAAAATTAATGGAATAAAGTGAAGGCTTGCTAAACTCCAACATGATCTCTACCAAATCAAACAATAGCTCATTTGACTTTTTTAATTCATGCTTAATACTCACACTCAACATAAAGCCATAGGAACCTCACTTGACAAGAGTAACTATTAAACAAGATATGCACTTAGTAAAAGATTGATTCAAAACACAGTATCATTTGTCGTTGATGAAGCAGAGAGCAATAAATCATTCAGACTTTCACATTGATTCAACAGTTAAACACACCACATAATCACACCGATAATCCAAAACATGAAACTTTAATAGAAATACTGATAAGAGCATGGAAACGGACCTTGAACATGCAACGGTTTTCAAATATATTGATACGAAAAAAATCTTCTACTCGTACATAATCTTGTTCAAAGTGAAGAGATCCAGAAACAAAAACGAGACCTTCGTCGTCAACTCGTAACTAACCGTACGCCGGAACCTCGAACCAAGACTTCGTCGGGGACTTTTCCCGGACTGTTTTCACTCAGATTTTAGCGACCAAGAGTGGATTTTTCCTGCTGGTTTTGTGATGTTTGCGAGCTAGTTTTTGGAGAGAGAATCACTGTATTTTTGCGGCAGTTTTGAAGCTGAAAATTGGCGTTAATGGAGGTAGGTTTTGCAGCTATTTTGTGACATTTTTGGGCAGCTTTTGCTGTATTTTCGGGCTGCTTTTTGCTGGAATTCAGGGTGAGATTCGTTGTTATTTTTTGCTATGTTTTGGGGGTAGTTTCAGTTGGTTTTTGTAGCTAAAAGAGTGCTGGATTTTAAGGATAGTTTAAGGCTGATTTGGAGGTGGGTGTTAATGGAGGTTTTGTGTGTTTTGTGCTGGGGAAGAAGGAGGTAATCCCCTCTTCTTCTTCTTCTTCTTCTTCTTCTTCTTTTTGTGTGTGTACATATAATAAGAAAAGATGAGAGGAGGAGTGTTGAAAATGAACCATGGGGCAAGGACGTAAATAGTGTAGTAGGTGAGTGATGGAACAAGGGAATAGTAAAAGGGGAATGAGATGTGATACGTGAATAGTGTAGTAGGTGGGTGATGAGACAAAGAAATAGTGTAGGGAAGGTAGGAAGTAATTTTATTATATTTGGTCCGTGATTCAAATAAATTCTTTCGCCCTCTATGTAATAGACTTTGTTAAAAATATTACATATTCTCTAATAAAGCCTACTAATAAAAATAGAATAAAAGTTAAAATATCAAAATTAAACTTCAAACTATTTAAATACTATAACAAAGTGATGAAAATTTTAAATATAGTCGAAAATTAGGTGCTCACAACATACCCCTTTTTGCTTGGAAATATGAAGTGTTTTCAGGCAAAGAAAGATGAGCGATATGACTAATTTTTGTCCATACCATTATTCAAAAGGGAAGAGAGAAAAGAGTGCATCCGAGTCATGGTTTTGGACGACCTACATATCCCGAATTATAAGGGAATCACGTTGCGTGTAGTTCAAGGAAAAGGAATGGAATTTTGAGTTGGAGAGTCGAGTGAGGTTCCATCGAGACTCTGGCCTATAGTCATGTTATTACATCAAAATCAAAAGAGAATAAACAAGCCTATCAGCTATGAGTTACAAGATTCATATCTATAAGTTTTCTAAAAGTTGATCTTAAGTCTTGACTGGTTATTCACGCAAACTCTGATCTGAACCTTGATGTTTGCTCGCTGCATGTGCCAGTTCATTCTTCTACGGCCTCTTCTGATAACGGGAAATGAAATACTCGTGACTTCAGTTATGTCCTGAGTAGTTCACATCTTTTCATCCACTTCTGCATTCTGGATTCACTTCTTTTGTTTTCTTTCCTTTATTTTGGATTGAGATTTCTTTTATCGGTCATCTCGAACCTATGCCTCGAGGTAAAACCTGCTCAGACACCAAAACAAACAAACAAACGAAATTTTTCTGCCCCAGTTTTTACTAGAAAAATTTCGTGAGTTATTTATAACAAAACTCTATACTACTTCATTATTGAAAGCAATAAAAAGTCAGGATTGGTGTACCCTAGGAAAACATGATTCTTTAGGAAAGGTGTGCCCTGATTGTCTAAATGGTGCCTCGACTAAGGATTGGTGTACCTTATGTTGGAAAAATGTGATAGGGAATAATGTACCCTGATACTGATAAGGAGACTAAGGAGTGAAGACCCTATGTCTAAAAAATAAAAATCAACTAAGGAGTGGAGACCCCCTATGTCGGAAAACACAGTTAGGGATTGGTGTACCCTGATACTGGTGAGAAAAAGTAACCAGGGGTTGGTACCCTGTATTACGAAAAAGGAATGTAATCAGGGATTGGTACCTTGTATTACTGAAATAAAATGTAACCAGAGGTTGGTGCCCTGTATTACTGAAGAGGAAATGTAATCAGGGATTGGTACCTTGTATTACTGAAATGAAATGTAACCAGGGGTTGGTGCCATGTATTACTGAAAAGGAAATGTAACTAGGGGTTGGCACCCTGTATTACTGAAACAATGCTGAATCCCCTTGGGGAAAAGATTCTACCCGGGTTAAGCTACGTAAAACAACCTAAGCGAAGAGTAATTCTACTGGGAAAAATGAGCTGGATCCCCCTAGGCAAAAAGGTTCTACTTGGGTTAAGTTACGAAAAACAACCTGAGCGAAGAGTACTTCTACCCGAATCCTTTGCCACCATTACTCGCGCCTCACATTTCCTTTCAAAAGGTCTTTCAACACGTGGTTGCACAAAATCACAAGAATTAAACAAGAATGAGTTAATGG